TAGTAGTGTTGGTGGTGGTTGTAGTAGTACTAGTAGTAGTAGTAGTAGTGATAGTGGCGATGGTGGAAGCAGCAGGAGCAATGGTAGTAGTAGTAGTAGTGATAGTGATAGTGATGATGGTGGTGGTAGTAGTAGTAGTAGTAGTGGCGATGGTAGTAGTAGTAGTAGTAGTAGTGATAGTGGCGATGGTGGAAGCAGCAGGAGCAATGGTCATGGTAGTAGTAGTGATAGTGATGGTGGTGGTAGTAGTAGTGGTGGTGATGGTAGTGGTAGTAGTAGTAGTAGTAGTAGTAGTAGTAGTAGTAGTAGTAGTAGTGATAGTGGTAGCAGGAGCAGCAATGGTGATGGTAGTAGTAATTAGTAATCGTGGTGGTTGTGGTGGTGGTAGCGGTGGCGGCAGAATAAGAATAAGTAGTTTTGGTGACTGCAGTATTGTAGTAAAATCGCCAGTTCTGATGGTGACAACAGCAAAAGGAATAACTACTAAATATTCTGTGCAGCACAGTAAGAAAGCCGAGAGAAATTTGATACTTCTAGTTTCGGTTCAATTATGCACTCTGTTTCTGGATTTTCTGGAAATGCACACCTGTGAAATGTGCCCAGGATATCGGATTTCCGGGTATCCTACACAATTTATGTTATTTATATTAATCTTTAAGTTTTTAAACCGTGTGAAACGAAGAAAAATGGGAATAATATTGCAATACGTGGAACAGACCACTTGATTCTCTGGAGCTCAGCAATTTCTCCCAATGGCGACCTCATTCATGTGTACTAATGTAGCTGTGTGGGCATTGCGGCTTAACCAACACATTCATCACTAAATCTCCTTTCGGATTTCAACTTCATTTAATGTGACCGTAGTGAACACTGGAAGTATTTCGAGAAGGCAAAGTTCATTAAACTAAACATAGTCAAAATTTATGGACATAAATGAACTTAACGTAAATCCAAGTATAAATTTAGTGACCAAGTGGTCTAGGGGTTGTTTCTAACCATGGGGTTTAGCTAATCAGGATTCCAGGGTCTGTTTCATTTTGTATCTGTTAGGAAACTGCAGCAATTGCTTACTGGACTGCGTGGCTCTACAAACTTCCCCCGGGAGTTCCGATCCGAACAAGTCATTTTGATTAAATAGAAAGAGCAAATATTCAGTCTCCTCCAGAAGTCAGAGAGACGTGCAGCTTAACTCAGTTCAACTACGAAACTTCTTGGTAATTGCACTTGTAGTTGGTGCTTATATAATGATTCTTATGCGAAGAGATCTATATATTATTTAGGATCTGTGAAAGTTCCACATGCAAGTTTTCTTTTCTAATGCATAATGAATATATAGGATATTGATGAGAAATCCGGAAGGAAGGAGACCACTGGGAAAACCAAGACGTAGGTGGGTGGATAATATTAGAATTGATCTCAGAGAGATAGGATGGGATGGTATGGATTGGATTGGTCTTGCCCAGGATAAGGACAGCTGGAGGGTTCTTGTGAACACTGTGATTAACCTTCGGGTTCCATAAAATGCTGGGAAGTCCTTGAGCAGCTGCACAATTGGCAGCTTCTCAATAAGGGATCAGCTCCATGAGTGAGTGAGTGAATGGCGTTATACTGCCTCTCTAACCATATACCTCCAAAGACATTTATTGATTTCGATTTTAATAGTGGGGATCTACTGAAATTACACCGCATGATGTTCAATTTGAGATAACTCTCTTTACAGCATGACTGAGTTAATAATTGTTTTGTTTATGGTCTCTAGCTTTCTTTTTCTTGGCACTACAGCCCCAGTGGATCTAGGCCTACCTCCATGAACTTCTCCGTTCACTTCGGTTTTTCTAGATCTTACACATTCGGTAGGACTCCTTGGGCGGGTGATCAGCTCTTCGCAAGGCCTCTACCTGTACACAAACACAGAAAAACGCACACACACAAACTAAACATCCATGCCCTCAGTGGGATTCGAACCTACGATCCCTGTTTCCAAGCGAGCAAAAACAGTACATGCCTTAGACCGCTCGGCTACCGTGACTGGCATGGTCTCTAGTTATTATTTGAGTTATTTTTTGATGAAATGTATATATTCAGCTCAGTACCCACAAAGAAAATTATTTATACTTGTATCCGTGTCGCTGTTACACATTTCTCAACGTTACTCTTCATATCCTTCCATAGTTTTGTGTCTGTATTGTTATCAGTAAATCTGTACACGAAAATAAAAACTCCGTGACTGCAGTCCGCAGGCGAACTATAGCGACCTAGCGAACCGCGGGTTGTCGGCGAAGTTAGTGACAACTTTAGCTGACAGAGGTTGTCACGTGGTCAGCGCAACGAATCCCCACGGCCGTTAATTTTGGTTTTCTAAACCGTATCCGCTGCTTTTCCATTCAATTAGCTCCTCAGTTATCCTCACAAGACTGAGTGGACCCTGTTTCAGACACATTACTTCTCAGAAAATCTGGTATCGCCAAGAATCGAACCCGGGACCTCTGGATCTGTAGCCAGGAACTCTGACTACTAGACCACAGAGGCGGTCGTCTAAAATTGTGGTGGATACAGACACTGCAAAGACGTATATAAAAAATCTATACCTTTTCACCCGTTTTTAATGTACGTGTATGTGTGCATATTTTAATGTATTTTGTAACTTTCTTTTCCGAGAACTGAGTTGCGATAAGTGAGGACTGTGACTGTGACTGTGACTGATAGAATTCACATTTAATATTCTGTTTGTAATAGATTTTCATATTCACATAGACCTCCGTCATCCTGTTTCCACGAAGGGGAAGCGTCGGAAATATATTTAGGTCTTTTGTTTGTGAGGATTAAAATAAATTAAATTACTCGAAGACCAATGTACAGTAACAAAATAAGATTGGTTTAATTTATGTCCATATCTCTATTTATTGATTTTGTTCCTTTTCTAAGTAAGATTGGACAGATACTAACATCGTATGTCGCCAAATTTGGTAGAAGCTAGTGAATTCTTATTCTTCAAAATATATAAAAATTGATTATATTATTCTTGTAGTATAATATATATATATATATAGAGAGAGAGAGAGGGCTGAAGTTAACACATAAGGCAGAATTATTTTTTTCGAAATATATTAAAAGATCAGGGCTCAGCCACTATTTCCCATAAAGTTACATTTGGTGTTTATTGGAAGTTCCCAAAATAGTCTTCCTTAACTTTGAGGGTTCATTTATTCTACTAAAACTGCTCTATAAATTAAGATCTCTCAGTTAAGTGGCTGACTAGCGGAAGAACAACTGGTTTAATTTTCAGAACTGACAAGATGCTTCTATTTATCATCGCATCCAGATTCACTATCTAGGCTACCCACCCTACAGTGAAGTTTGCGCTATAAGTGAGGCTAATTCTTCCACAAACTGCGGAATTCGTTTCAGTGATTTGCGGAATGAGAGTGAGGCTATTATACAGACGTGGTATAACTGTCTCTCAGCCACACTCATACGGCTTTTTGCGTCGTTACGTCGGTTCGCCGTAAAAGAACAGTAATTTCTTTTTGAAAATTGATTAATATCAAAATTTTACTGCGTGGTTATCATGCACGTAAACACAATGTCTGAGAATTACCATATGTGGCTGCAATACTGAGTAAGTTTGGCTACTCCTGTCATAGGACAAATTGATCATCAACGTAGAAGACAAAGTATCCTGTGTTTGTACGTGTAAATTAAAACGCATGCCCTTAGGAGTACTTATGTGTAGAATTAGTGTTTATTTGTAGATGTTACTGTACCATTAAGACCGCGCCATAGCTCAAGCGGTTAGTCGCTGGCTTCCCACCACGGCGGTCCGGGTTCGATCCTGGGTCTGGTCAAGTGGGATTTGTGGTGGACAAAGTGGCGCTAGGGCAGGTTTTCTCCAAGTACTTCGGTTTCCCCTGCCAATCTTCATTCCACCAATTCCTCCACAATCACCGTCACCTATCATCTGGGGCTGGTACAATAGACCAGAAGTGGCCCCAGTACAAGGGACTTACTCCCACCCCACTAGCAATAACAAGAAGAAATACTGTACCATTATGCCTAGTGCTCACGTCGTTAATGTTTCCACTCCTTCTCTGTTCCAGTCGCATCAGTGGAGACTACAGCTGTGTTAACTGGCGTCGCGAGGTTGCCTTGTGATCTACAGACAGCGGCTGCCACCGATAAGGTGACCCTCGTGATCTGGTACAAAGATAGCAGCAATAAACCTATTTACAGGTAAGTGCTGATTGTACAGCTCTCACTGGAAGTTTACTCTTCATAGCATACTGAACTTATATAGCATACTGAATTCCAAGGACAATTAGAATGATCAAGGAGGATGAGGTAGGCAGGACATTTAGCACAAATGGTGGAGAACAGGAATGCATATAAGATATTGGTGGGAAAGCCAGATGAAAAGAGACCACTGGGAAAACCAAGGCATAGGTGAGTGAACAGTATTAAAATATATCTTAGAGAGATAGGATTGGATTGATCTGGCTGAGGATATGGTCCAGAGGAGGCTCTTGTGAACACAATAATGAACGTTTAGGTTCCATAAAATGCTGGGAAGCTCCTGAGTAGCTGCAGAATTGGCGGCTCCTCAAGAAGAGCCCAACTCCCAGAGTGAGTGATAGCACAGTGAAACCAGAGGCGGGACTGGAGCAGAACCAAAGGATCAGTTGGCCCTTGCTACGTAGACAATGGCCAGAAACTATCCATAAATGTAATGAGGCCACCATGGAAATAGCCGCGAGCTACGAATTGAAAGAGAACTTTGTCTCATGTTGATAAGTACAGACAGAGTCATCCTTCCATTCATATTGTGGTCTTCTGCGTTATTTTTAACATGATCCGGAGGAGCATACTGCCTCAATATAGAACAGACTAGTCGTGTCAAAGTCCAGAAGATCGCAATATCAATATCTCATGTACGTAGTCATCCTTCTGAAGTTGGGAATTCAATATTGACGATCGAGTTTCAAACAATATACTAAAAGAATGAGAAGTTTGGTTTGGTTCGTCTTTGCTGGATTTGTGCCGTCTCTCAGTGGTCGAATCCTCACCCGCTTCCTCACGACCCTCACGACCGGTCTCAGTCCGTGTTCAACACCACTTTCTGTTTGTACCTTGCGTCCACTCATGCTTTACAACGGCATTGGCAAGTGGAAGGGTGAAATAGGGTAATTTATCTAGTTCACGGAAGTGACGCATTCGCGAGTATATGACCTTATTCTCAAAGAGATCTGGAGAAGTACAATAATGTAAGATTTGAGGCTTTCACGGCGGTGACTATGAAGAAAGCAGTCTTCTGAGATTTGGCACCTTGTATATGTGGTGTTAACCGACGTTTCGGAGGAAGCGAAGAGACCGTCAGAACCGGTAAAAGCAGACTGTGCTTTTACCGGTTCTCACAGTCTCTACGTTTTGCAGATTTCTTATTTTTCCTTCTAACCTGAAGATGGAGGCGATACGTTCCTCCGAAACGTCGGTTAACACCACATATACACGGTGCCAAATCCCAGAAGACTGCTTTCTTCAAGTACAATAATCTTTGCGAATATGGAGATGTGTCTGTACATCTCCTACAACAATCTGTCACTGCTTCACTTTTTGTCTAGACAAACGTTAGGACGAGGAGGACACAGATTTTAGAAATTTTCCCCAAGAAAAACAAAACAAATGGTTACTTCCGAAGTCAGCCGTATGGACACGCGTCTTAACATGCAGTAACAACAGAGGACGTTCTGTTCTACATTCTTACTTCCAACTAATGCGATATTGTTAACCATATAAAGTTATTGGTAACAATGTATACCATCCTCCTTGACATTTATAAACTTTACTGTTACCCACAAAGCATATTTACTTCATCGATACGCTTCTCGAAAAAATCTGAGATTTTCTTTGCAGAATTAATCGGTTGATTTTTGTAATGAAGGAGTAGTTGTTCCTCTTTGAGGGGGGTGAGTGTGGGAACAGAATTTATTATTATATTATTCACATAAACTTCAGGTTTCAAAATTAAAGAGTTTCACGAGCTAATATACTTTCTAAAGGGATCCGTATCTATTTCCATATTTACAGTTTCTGATAAAATAATCGTTTATTACAAAATTTAATAATCAGAAAATAAGACGTGTCTGTTAAGTAATTCGTCCCAGCGTGCGGGCAGTTCATGGCAGTTGTGTGTTATGTACCGAATTTACAGGTGTCCCAGTTCAGGTGTCTGCTCTTCTTCATAACATCAGCTGTGATCTCAGAACCTCCTCAAGCCGGAAGGAGTGAGGACGACTAGTTTCATGGAAAGCGACCGAATATGGTCTAAGTCCTATAGGTGAACAATAAACCGTTGTCCCTAAAGAACTGCCGGAGCGGAATAACTAATTCATTAAAACCAATCGTTGTGGAAAATTAATTATTCCCAGATAATTAATATTTTAGCTCCATATTTTTTTTCAAAATATTGAACCTCTACTCAGAAAATTATTAATGAATTTGTTATATTAAGAAGATTATAGTTAATTTCATTGTTTAATATTATAAAAAATATAGTGAGCCGTAGAACCTCATATCTCATAACGTTTAAATAAAAGTTGCACTTGGCGATGGCCTAAACATATTGTGACGTAGACGACGCAACTGGAAGTAGGGGTCACGTGAACTCTGCGTTTCCACGAGTGACGTCACGTACCCCCACTCCTCGCATCATTACGCAAACCTCGGTAAACACCCCTCCCCACGAGGCTGTGACATCACGCAACAATCGAGTCCGTGCAGCGACTATTGCTAGGCAATGCGTAGGTAGAAACACCTGACAACAATACCTGATATCTGTTGCCGAGCAGAAATATGTTCTCTGTGTTGTCCGTGCCGAGCCTAAATAAGGAGCAGCGAACACTGTTCAGGAGTAGTGAGTATTGAGTTACGAGAGAGTTACTAGTATAGAGGACTGAGAATCCAGTATGAATTGAAGTCCAGAGGATACGAGTCGAGTTGTATCGAGTGCATGGCAGTGACTACACCGAGAGAAGTAATTGTGTCATAGCTCAAGCGGTTAGTTGCTGGCTTCCCACCGCGGCGGCCCGGGTTCGATCCCGGGTCTGGTCAAGTTGGATTTGTGGTGGACAAAGTGGCGCTGGGGAAGGTTTTCTCCGAGTACTTCGGTTTCCCCTGCCAATCTTCATTCCACCAGTTGCCCCACAATCACCCTCACCTATCATCTGGGGCTGGTACAATAGGCCAGAAGTGGCCGCAGTACAAGGGACTTAGTCCCACCCCACTAGCAATTTAAAAAATTGTGATACTGCAGATGGAAGTAACTGTGAAACTGTGAACTGTATAAGTGTATGAGCGAATGCGCAATAAATTCGCTTGATCCAAAACGGCGTGAAGTTATTTGTCGCGTTACATACCCAACACGTGACAATATTTTGAAGGCGTATTCGAGAAGTGGAGGAAGTGTTTCCATCTTTCGAAACCTCGACAGTAGCTGGAGGAGCGCAGCTAGCTTCGCATTCTGATCACTGTGCCCTCTAGGGTACAGTGACCAGCGTCCTACATACATGAAACTGGTTGGGAAAAATTATACCACATTTTTTATTCCTAACTCAAATCCTGGCCATCCAGCTAGCAGGCAGTTACTTTATTAAACATTAGTTCCTCTTCTGAACAAATTTCCTCACATTCAACACACAGCTCGAGATGTGAAACAAATATTTGCAGAATTTTGGTGGAGACACTGCTTTGAGCGCGTTCAGTTCAAAGATTGATATAAGAGTAGGATTGTCTAGTGATGGACGTTAGCTGCATAAGCAGTGAGCGTGAGAGACGCACGCTCCGTATCCAGTTGGCATGCTTAGTTGTCCCTGTGCTTAACTAATTAAGCACTACACCATGAAGGCGTATGGGGGAGTGGATGTAGAGATCTACGTTTTCTTGATTAGGGCACTAGTCGGAGCTGAGTGGTCAGCTTCACGCTCCTGCCGTTTTACCCTTGGGGAAAGAGACCCCGGTACCCATTGGATAGGAGGTTGGGTGGACCCCAGAGCCGGTATGGACGACGTGGAGAAGAGAAAATCTTGACCCTACCGGGATTCAAATTCCGACCCCTCAGTCGTCCAGCCCGTACCTAGTCGCTATACCGACTACGCTATCCCAGTTCAGGCAATGCTTATTAGTTCAGTTAAATCCCCGAGTTATAATATTATATTTAGGCATCCTGTTGCACTTTATACGATATATGATGTAACTCCGTCCTAAGTGCAAACTGTATTTATAGGTCTTTCGTTTTGTTCTTCTTTATACACTACATGTTTCGGCCCCAAACGGCCATCATCAGGTCTATACACTCACGTATCTGTTACACTGCATTATTTATAACATTTAAAATTTAAAAACGTAGGTCTTCTTGATTAGCACTTATAAANAGCACTTATAAAATCTTCGGATCTAATTTGAAATCCTTTAAAAAAATTTTCTATAAATTTAAAATTTTAACAATGTAAAGATTAGTCACCAACATAAAACACAGCACACAATACATCAGACAACACACGTAGTAAATATAAGCAGCGGCATGCACACAGAGAGACTACACAGAATAACACCTATACAATACTAGAAACAAGAAGAAGCCGCTGCAGCACTAGAAACATAGGGCGAGTAACTCTGACATTTTTAAATTTTAAAATTTAGAGAAAAAACTTTTAAAGGATTTAAAATTATAACCGAAGATTTTATAAGTGCTAATCAGGAAGACCTGTGTTTTTAAATTTTAAATGTTATAATTAAGTGCAGTGTAACAGATGCGTGAGTGTATACACCTGATGATGGCCGTTTGGGGCCGAAACATGTAATGTATAGAGAGGAACAAAACGAAAGACCTCTAAATATAGTTTGCACTTAGGACGGAGTTACATCATATACCCCGAATTATATTCAATCTGTTGATTAATTTACAGAAGTCAGAAAACAAGGGACAGACCTATAAAGTCTGGCTTACATATTTTGATATTTCAGTAACGCAGAGTTGCCATGTTATGTTTGCAAACGACAGACCTCTCTCTACAACAGAAGAGTTTCTTGTGATTGAAGGAAGGACGCATATCTGTTACTTGCTGCTCGTAAGGTTGACGGAAGCCTGCACCGCTTAATGATACAAAGTGTCTTTAGCTGCAATATGGCCTTTGTGTACACAGCCTCAGTTTCTCCGTATACAGCCTTGTAGTATTTGT